AATAGGGTGACCACCCGTCCCGCGACTCGCGGGACTGTCCCGCATTGAGGGCTCCTGTCCCGACCGTGTCCCGCAAGAAATACAATTTTTTTCAAAATGTCCCGCATTTCACATTGTCGTAACATTCACTACGCAAATTATGGCGCTTCCGAACAACGGGGCACGGGGAAGCGCGGAGATCGCTGCGAAGCGTGTGAATCTCGATGGTATGAAGTTTTCAATCCAAGCACTGCGGGAAGCGACCGTCGTTCTTGCAGGAGACATGGGCGCATGTGCCATTGTGCCTCTCCCCTTGATGGAAAAATATCGCAAGAGAAAATTGCTCGCAAAAAGTTGAAAACTAAGCTATTGGAATTACCTGCAAATCATACTGTAAATCATACTGTAAAGTTACTGTAAAAAGATTTTTTTTTGTCTTGTGAAAACGGCTACACAAGGTAAAACGACTGCAACTCCCAACGGTCGAAAAAGCAAACATAATATTCTATTTTTGTGTAGAAGCTTTTAGTATAGGAGTAACTACCAACAAAAAAACATTAAGCCGAAAAAAAAAAATTTTTTTTTCTGTTTATTAGTTTTTTTTATACATTGAGGTCTGCTACAGGCGATTTTTATGTTTTTGTTTTTTTTTTAACTTAGACACTCTTAATAAAAAATATATACCACTACAATTGCCGCAGCACAATTTTCAGGTATATAATATGCTTTCGGACAGCACAGGATTTCCGGGTGTGCGTGTTGATGAATTTTCTTTAATACTGTCTTCTTCAGAAACCTCAAATAACTAGGGTGCCTACATGTTTCCGCCGCTCCGCTGTTTAGGGTGGCGACAACGTTTGTGGTACCTGTTGCCGACAAACCAGTGTTGCCTACCTCGTTACCATGGCAACCTCCGCTGCTTTCGTCGACCATTTTGTCACACTCGCCGGTCGTGCGCTCGGACTACGCCGCTAATCCTCGAGGGCTAGGGAGCGCTCACCACTCTCGTTCCGACGGCGAGGTTTCGGCGTTCAATGCCGGTCTGTGGCGTTCTATTTTGTCGCGGGAACTCGCGTTTGGATAAAAGCAACACACTTCCTGCTCGTAACTTCAAAATATGAAACACCCGAATAAGGAGAGCGACAGCCACGAATACCGCCATGCCGCTGAGCCTCCTACTCCTCTTATGAACGGAAACGGAAGTGGCCTCAGTGTTGCCGGTCTGTCGAGACTACAAAAACTCGTTGTGTACGTTTAGCGAACTATAAGAAGTGGGAAAAAATGGCGGTGGTAGAGGGTCTGGGAGAGGGTAACAAGAAGTTGGCGCCACCCTAAAGCGGAGCGGAAACATGTAGGCACCCTACAAATAACCAGACAGATATCACTTTTTGATATTAAATAATCCTTTTCTCACGGTCAATATGACTTCATTTAGATCAATTTGAATTAGACAACCGAGGAATGCCCGATTCACATGGTGCGAATTTTCTTGCGATTTCGCAGCTCGTTCGAACACGCTTCTTTTTTTCTTTCTTGGAGCACAAGCGCCGTGCCAACTGCAGGTAAAACGACACCATGTGAATCGGGCTGAAGATCAGAAAGGGCTTCAGGGACACTAATCTGGACGCTCGGTGAAAAAGTCGGCGAGGAAACCGGCGGCTGTGATTGACCGGCGTCGCGCTTGACCTTGGCGCCAACCAATCACGGCGGTCGAATTTCTCGCCGACTTTCGCCGAGTGTCCAGATTAAAGGTATCACTTCCACTTTTAAAGGGGCCCCGCAATCAAGCGTCTACCTTCCGGGCAGCGGGCACGGAGAGAGGAACTAAATATCAGTGCGTCATATTTTAACCGGACGACACGGAAAGTTCCACCTACGGGGGGCGACCCGCGATGCCCAAAGCACGCGCTATGTGACGTCTTTGGTCCTGGGCTTACTACTAAGCTTCTTTTTAGTCGAAATATAAAATAGAAGTGGCGCGAACCGTTTCAATTATTCATGAAAGTAGTTTTTGTTCAGTATCCTAGATCAGAAAAGAAACAAATGCAGTTACGAAAGTACGGAAACAAGAAATAACCCGTCGACATACCCACCACTAAGCGGTGGAAAAAGCCGCGCATACTATACATAGGTGTAGTGGGATCAGGCACCGACGAGCGGCGAGCGTAGAAAGGTCCTGTATATACGCTGCGGCGCTGCGGTCGTATGGACTGGAGGATCCGAGCGGTTCCGAAGGCCTTCGGCGAGCAGCCTTGGCTTGCGGATTTGACGTTTGACGGTATGGCAGCGCGAAGTAACCCCCGTTCTGAACTGATCTTTACCCCGTGTTTGCTGTCCTTTGTGGCCAATGAAGTGTCATTCCGAATTAATGTTTAATCGCACAGCAAATGCAATGTGAGCCGCCCTGGCTGCCCGTTTCATACAGCCTATGCAGGACATGCTTTACTGGTGCCCTCTCGAGCGTCGACACGGAGTGCGGCCAAGGTGCCTGGAACGCGTTTCCGACTGGTGTGTTTACCGGGTCCAAAAAAGTAGCCTCTCGATTTCCGCCTGATGACGTCATAGAAGTGTCATGCTGTCGCCGGTCGCGAACCTGGCGGCGTCCCAATAGCTGTGGTGGCTGTGGCAGACGCCTGTTCTGCTGCAGGTCGCTCTCCAATGCGGCAGTTCACGGAAGCTCAAGCAGGCGGAAGTTGGGACGCCTGGAACGCCGTGACGACAGCGACACTCGCGTTCACCTGTGGTTTTCGCCAGCATTCCCTACGACCAACCGCCAGTATCACGACATGCACCAGCATGACACTCCGGCTTCTGTGACGTCATTTGTTGCCACTTTGGGACCACTTTTGATGTATGGGCGGGATAGGACGCTAAACACACCAGCCGGAGACGCGCTCCAGGCACCATAGTGCGGCAGCCGTGAGCGCTTCCTGAGCTCACTGCCTCTCCTTCAGTTCAGCCACTCAAGCGACCAAGGACGTCATAAGGCGGTTATGTTTTGCTTGTTTTTGTCATTTTAATTTGCCTATAACTTTTAAAATAAGGCGAAATTTGAAACCAGTAAAAAAAAAAAAATCATTACAGGGCCCCTTTAAAGCCCCTGGGCGGTGTCCCTAACACGACCTTCGACGGTCGTGTTAGGGACTCACACTGGAAGATGTCCGAGTATAAAATTCAGACGAAGGCGGCGTCGGTGGTGCCTCGCAATGTTTCGATCCGAAACTCGGAGAAAGAACGGAGTAGCGTAGAGGTGATTTCGCCGAACGATCCCCCTCAAGCATTCACCGGTTCGCCTTCTGGAACCCAATTATGGGTCGAGATCACTCAAAATGTCACCACCGCGCAGCCGAACGACACCGCCGCCACACTATCGACGCAGCTCACGTGAAAGCCGCTGTAGAGTCGGCAGCAGAAGTTCGCGGGAGCACCGCCGAACTGGTTGCACCTTTTGACGGCGCGCGGCCGCTCTCAAGATTCACGCTTCTAGAATGCGCTTTCTTTCGTGCTTGCGGTCAAGTCTTTTTACTCGCTTCCGTCCGACGCGCATGAAATAATCGGGACTGGCGAAAGGCACCGCGTTGTCAGCCGTCATGCCGCGCGTCTGCTTCGTCACCGTGATGGGTGACGGAGCTCGCATGATACAGATTACATTTCGCGGCACCTTGCGCCAGTCTGTTATCTCGTAAACACCGGACGGAAGCGAGCCAAAAAAAAAAAAAGACACGACTGCGAACACAAGAGGAAGCACATGAGTCTTGAGAGCGACATCGCGCCGCCAAAGGGCGCAGCCAGTCTTTTGGGCTGGCGCTCCCGTGCCCGAAAATTTTTGCTGCCGACTGTATACGTAATGGCTAATATTATATTATGCCTTTTTTTTTTTTTATCCAAATAAACAATGAGAGAGCACGACAACTGCAAACATTTACAACGCTGGATTTAGCTTTAGTGCACCGAGGAGCCGAAGAAACCTGCGATCAGACAAGACTCCTAGGCGCACTTCACTGAAACCCCTCGTTTTGGCCAGCGAGAATGAGCGAGAAAATTGAGGATTAAAGCTCGCAGAAAGTTGCGACTTTCCAGCCTGAGCCATTGCAGACGAGCTCGGAGGAGCGCTTCTGTACGACTACCCGAGTTTTGATTGCGTCTGCCCACGATGGACTGTTGACGTTGAAGCCTCCTTGGTTTTATTCCGCTTGGTTTGGAGGGAACCGGTTAGCAGCAGCCACCGGCGAGGCCCTACGAGTCAAGCGTGCACGAGCCGTTCCATGCAAATCAGACGACTGCCAGACGTTTTATACAATCGCGCTTTCGGCGCGCGCGAGGCAAGCAGGCACATATTTTCGCCACGCATCTCCCAGCCTCGTTTGACTCCCCTCGGCGTGCTGCATGACCACAGGCTACGGACAGCGACAGAAGGGACGACGATAAGGCAAGAGAGGCTCCGGCGGACTGTGTAAATGAAGATACCGGCGATGACACAACAGAAACCATTGCGTAGCACTGAGGGAAAACGAAAATTCAGTCAGCATGACCATAAGCAATAGAGGTGCACGGGTCAAGCGGACAGGCTCAGCGCAACGCGGTGCATGATAACATGCAACGTTGCGCTTACTGTCCAAACAACCCGCTCGTGATGACACCGGGGAGACGACCCAATCTTCGACTGGTAAACATCTTAGGCAAAACACTGCGGCCAGAATCGCGACATCGCCCACATCGCGACGAGGCGACACCAAGGGAAGAAAAAGTACGCAGCTGCAAAACAATTTAAATGTGCGCGCGCAATTTAAAAGAACCCTCAAATGTCCCGCCGAAATTTGTTTTTCCATCCCTGCGGAAGCAAGAGGCCTTGAGCATGCGAGTGTAAACTGAAGCACCGGCGTGTCAGGAACGTCAGGGCGTCGTGCAAAGAAAGAGTAAAACCGTGTCCTCCGCTCTCTTCTCCAATGCAGGCTCGCCGCCGGGCCCGAAGCAAAGCGGCAAAGAAGGCGCAAATGAAAAGAAAAAACAGGAAAACTCACCAACTCAATAGACCCACGAGGGATGTTCTCCAGACGAATCACCCTACACCAGACTCAAGGCACATTGTTACATTCATTCGTCCGACGGGAAAACCTTCCACACACACAGCGCGGAGCGCAAAATAGCGTGTGGAGCGTGCGCCGTGCAACAACAAAAGTACGGTGTCTAGCTTACTGGTCTAGTGAGCCTACCCTGGAGGTAGGTAATCTCCCGGATCTCCTCGTGAGAGGAGAGATCGCAATAATTATAGTTGCCGCTAGGAATGCTGCCGACAGTTGGTATGCACGCGCATGCGCGTATAGCATGATGGCCGTCGTCTGCTGCTGTCGCCTGCTAAACTAAGCCTCCTGAGCCGCGCGCCTCCCTCTCTTTCGGACGGACGCATTGAACAAAAATAACAAGAACAAGGAAAAAAAAAAAAGCGGCAAAAATAGGAATATTTATTATCGGACTCCTGTGTTCCCCTTCTCCAGGGATTATTTTCGTCATGCCTGAAGTGTTTTTTTTTTTTTTTTTAATATGTTATTAAGGCTAGATGTTGGATGGAACAGATATGCAAACACACAGTACTTCTATTCACCTCAAAAACAACACAGCACAAAATATAAAAAAAATACAGTGGGTTTTTGCGGAACGTTGTTATTTTCCCCCTTATATGTCGAATTAAGATATATGTATGCGCATCTTAGATTAGCTTTATGTTATTTTATTAGACACATGCAGATGTTTCGAACGCCAAATCTCGTAAAAACTACGTTGCGCAGAAAATGAACCATGCGCAAAAGTTTCTTTTAACATCAGATTAATGAGCAATTCTCAACTTTTAAGTTTTTTTTTTCTTCCTTTTATCTTTCTTTTTTTTTTTTTTTTTTTTTTCGCAATGATTAGTGTTTGGCTGCCACTGTCACGCCTCCGATAATTTGATCTGCTCTCGGACACTCAACGAATGTGTTGTGTACCAGTAAGACACTTTACACTCTGACTGTTTCTAGCACCAAATGCGCGTTTCGGCCGTGTAGGCTGGTTGACGCACTGGCCAAGTTTCGAGGCCACAGCAAAAGCACATGACGTTCTCCCATTGGTCTTAGCAATCACGTGATCTATTCCTGAGCATAGAGCGGATAGAGTAAGTGATGGAGCCACTGATCAGTGGATGGAGCCTAAATAGAGCCCATAGCGCCTTTGAGCCCTCTAGTGCACAAAAATATAAAGAATGCAGGAAGTGTTATGTTTTTGTGCTGGTGACCTAGAAATGTTATACTTGTGTACAATTTCTACGAAATATGATGATTTTGAATCCAGGTTTGTTGTAATTATTTTTTCAAGATACTGCCAGCCTGAGGCCCAAGCAAATATTTGCGTCGACACGTAACGCGGCGGGCTCATATTTCCACCGAAGGCGTATTTTGCTAGTGGATTTTACTTTGTAAAATTTCAGAACGTAGCTTCGTTCCGGCGAAAAATGAGCCAGCCACTTCTAAGCTTCTACTCCTCAGATGCTTGCTTGGACGATGTGCCGTCCAACGCTGGATAGGGATCAAAAACGCAGCTCTTCGGGGTGTTTATATAAGTGCAACGTGTTGAAAGTTTAATCGGTCTGTTCTCTGTTTCCTGCACCCATGGTATCTTCTCAGTATTATCGATCTAAAACTTATTCTGGGAGGTGTTGGCCTAAGGTTTTTCTTCCTTGTGTTAGAAATTATGTGTATGTGTGTGTGTGCGTGTGTTGCGGGAAAAGAGGGGTGTGTGGGAAGCGGTGCGTGCGTGCGTGCGTGCGTGCGTGTGCGTGTGTGTGTGTGTGTGTGTGTGTGTGTGTGTGTGTGTGTGTGCGTGTGTGTGTGTGTGTGTGTGTTATACATCACTGCATCCACTGTTAGTAGGGTTTAAATAAAATGTTGTGTCCGCAATAATATAACAGAGTCCTGACACCTACGGTTTGATTCTCGATTGGTATTCAACCTCCTTGTTATCCAAGCGTTTGAAGGCGTGGATCACCTTACAACGAATCCAGCCTCTTGGCTCCCACTATTTTCGAGGGTGAACCTGGACGTTTTGGACTCCCACGGCGACTACGGAGAAGGAAGTGACGTCAATAACGCAGCAAATGCAGATTGGATGTTGTCTGATCTCTCATCAATCAACATCCAATCTGCATTTGCGGCGTTGTTGACGTCAAAAAGCTAGTTCCACAAAAAAAAAACGATGATTGGGCATTAAATGTGCCTTACACAGATAGTAACTTTTCAGCCTAGGCAATGTTTTAGCGGTTTTACCAGCATCACCCGCTTCACCGAACTCACTGGTTCCACCCGTTTCATGTTTCATCAGTCCGATCCACGATACGATCCGACTCCGAGGGTGGGTGACGCAAGATGGCCGACTAGTGGCCATTTTGCACGATTGAGCAAATCGTCATAAAGTGTTATATTCCACAAAATTGTTGGGTTATAAATACTTATAAACGAGAGAAGAAACTTAGAGCAAAAATTTATGGGGGAAATATAAATGTAAATATTCCCACGCTAGGTAGGTAGGCTCGATACAACTCTCACTATCTATCTAGTAATTCTAGCATTTTAGCATTATAGTGCCAATCTAGTGTACTGTAAGGGACTGTATCCGTCTGTATGCTGATGCGTTGCGTGCTGCTGTGCAGCTGTGCCCGCTGTGTCGTCGGTGTCGTCTTTGGTGCGTGCTGCCGCCGTAGGAAGGGAGCGGTTATATTGGTTATATCTGGTTTATCAGACAGACGTGCCAAAAAAAGCAAGATAGCGTTCTAGTGTATTTCTTGCGGTAGCTTCGTGAGCACAACTCGCATTGAAACATTTTACATAATAAGCGCTAATGGTTCTGGGAATGGGAAACGATGTATGGTGCATGGTCTCGATTCGTTGAGCCCTCTCCGCCCTACCTACTCATTGCAGGTAAGATGGCTGTGCTGCGCGCATTTGCCACTCAAGCTTCACGTTCTTCACGGTACGAGAACTGAAGCTTGCTCGTGCAGATTGGTACTTACAGGCGTCCAGAAGGACTCGAAACAATGGAGCCTACCACCATTCGTGATTTGAAGCCCGGCATGAAAAATCTCAGTATTATTTTCATCGTCCTGGAAATAGGTGAGCAACTCGGAGTAGCCTCTTCGATGTATCGTGATTGAACGTTCTAGCTGTTCGGGAAACGTGTGGCGAATTCGGGTGTTCAAGAGCCAGCTCGGACATACTGAGAAGGTCCGGCGGTAGAGCATGTGACCCTCTCCACTCGGTTATGAAACACCGGCTGCGTAACTTTCTCAGGCGACGCAGTCAAAGCTATCAAAGTTATGCACGTGCACCATGCTTTGTACTTTACGTGCCAGCTTAGCAGAAGCTACAAAAACGAGCTCCTGGCTTCCAGCGTCCCTGCAAGCACGCGCAGAGGCCTGCAGCCTATTGTTCATGCCTCTGATGGACACAAATTTTGAGAAGTGGACAAAGTGGTCCCAAACAAAATGGTTCCAGACAGAGTGGTCCCAAACAAAGTGGGTCCAGGCAATGTGATCCCATACAAAATGATCCCAGAAAGAGTGATCCGAATTGAATATTGATTGCGAGCTCTTGGTGTGTTTTCGATTGCCCGTATTTAATGCAAATTGGACATTGAGCTTGAAGAAATGAAAGCTTATGACTTAAGGAACAACAGCAGGCAAGTACAAGCTTGTCTTTGTTCTTTATGTTTCATGCTTTCGTTTCTCAGGGATCTACACATAGAAGTGAAGCGCATGGAGAGGAAAATATTTTGCAAAATACTTATGAAGCCTAGTCTTTTTTTTTTTTTACATAATTTATTATCAATAACTGAAAAATGTCTTTACAAAGTGTATGGGCCATATTCGATGTGTGCTTCAGCAGTTTCCATCTCTCTTGTCTGTGTCAAATAAATATGGCTGTCTTTGCCAGTTGCATTTTCGTTTATAAATGTTCCCTAGAGGAGCGCTGATTTCATGCATCGTTCATTCAGAGGGAACATTTTCCATTTGGAAAATGAAACACTTAGGAATGACATTCAAGAAGAAAAGAACAGGATCATGCACCTTGGTTTTCCTAGGGAACCAATTGTCATTTATGAAGGGTGCTTAGCAAGTGAGGCCGAACGCATGTTCAGATGCACTCGCAATTGTCATGCGACACTACAGTGCGACACTGAGTGTGACAATTAACATTGTCTAGATATTTGTCCGAATTGGCTCAGTGACCTCAGTACATCTCTATTATTGGCTCTGCACGTGTTTTGTAGGGGAGGATGCACGTTAAAATATTTTGGGGGTAACCAAGTTCATTTCATAATGCCCTATCGAAAAGCTTGTTGCATATTATGGGATCAGTGCTTCTTATCTGGACATCTTGCATCTTTCACTACTTCAACACTTCAGAAAACAAAGAATCGCCAAAATATGACCAAATTGAAAAATATCTGACTGAACCAAAAAAATATATTGAAGGTTTGTTCAATTAACTTTTGAAGCAGCATTAAAGAAAATCCTTTAAAGGGCATGCAACATGGACATCAATTCACTTGGGCCATTTTGTCCGGAATAATTTCTTCCTGGCCCACGTTGGGCCTACACCCAGTTCCTTTATGTCATTTGTTCAAAATATTTGTCTCGCCTGAGTCCCCCCACATTGTAGAATTGCATGATAAAAAATCTGGGAAGGCCAAGCTAATAAATCTTGATGGTGCCACCCATGTTGGCATCATATCTCAGTGTTTGTTTTTGGAGCTGAAAGCTTGTCATACTTTGCATATGGGCCAAATGATTACTAGTTCTTAGTTTTACAGATTCTTCTGGCTTTCCCCAATGTTTGTGTTTTTGGAGCTGAAAGCTTGTCATACTTTGCATATGGGCCACATGATTACTAGTTCTTAGTTTTATGGATTACTCTGGGGCATTCCCCCAACCTTCCCCTCCTTTATTTGCTGAGTTTCCCCTTATTCTTTCATTGCAACCTTTCAGCAGAATATGTTCTGAGCAGTCGATTAAGTCCCCTAGGGAACAGCTTTTGCTTCCTAGGGATTTAGTATACTAAAGTTAAAGCTTGGGGTGACTTGGTACATAAAACAGTGCTCCGTCTGTGTCTTTCTTTATCCGGTCTCCAGCACTCTGTCACTGTCTCTTTATCCCGTCTCTCGTCCTTTGGGCTGTTTTAATATACATCCAATCTTTTTTCCATAATTTTTCCTTTACCGTAAAATACTGGGCAAGTGCCCACTCAAGCTTTGGAGCTTGAGTGGGCAATCGCGAAAAAATGGGGAATGGGCGCTTGTCCGGTCATCACTTTTACATATAAATGTACTGAGCGTATTTTCTCAGATCGTACAAATTTGGTAATGGGCACTTCATGTGGATAGGGCGGACGCGCAGTATTCTACGGTAGTCCCAAACTCTGTATGAAAAGCTAGGGCCGACTTTCGAAAGCAAAACTTACGGATCTGAGAGAGAAAGGATGTGTTTTTACAAGAAGGTGGTTGAGAGTGGCTGTGTGGGTATATATAGGATGCTTTGAGAAATAAACCAGTTAACTGAGTTTGAGACATTCTCTTCTGTGTCTGTTCCTTCGACAAAGTTTTTTCCTTTTCTGCGCCACAGTCTCGGGTGTTAAATGTTACGATGTTGTTACAGTCAAACTCTGCACAGACGTCAGGCATGTGTTCTTTCTGGCCACTTGCATCACAGCTATGATTGAAGAATTTCCTTTTTGACCAACTAATTGGGGCAATTAATTTTTTAGGATTAGAATTTGGTCAATATTGATTGGAATACCTGCCTGACCATAAAATTAAGCTAAAGATTACTTCATTGTCTCTCTAGGTTGATTGCTTTTAAGGGTGGTCTCACCATGTGCAGACTTACATGGGAGCATCTGAGATATAGGAGCTTGTACTAACATCTTTCATTTCACTCCATAGCATTCATATCCTTTGTTGCATTGCAACAAAAGCCCCAACTCTTTTTATGAAAAAAAAAAAAAAAGAATAGAGCTGTAATATTGTTCTGTGAAGTCTAGGTTCTCACTCTCGGCTATATTTAGTTAAAAGCAAAAACATGATGCCTTTGCATTTTTGTTACACCAGGCTCTAAGTAATATTTTCTCAGTGCTGATTAGAAGCTTGCATTTAGGAGCGCTTTACTGTTTCATGGTTCGAGGCCGACCTAATATGACCAAAGAAAACCACGAAGTGCGGACGTGCAAAGTGGCAGACCGCTCTGGGTCCATCAACGTCTCTGTGTGGGATGAGCCAGGTACCTGCATTCAACAGGGGGACATCTGCAAGCTTACCAAAGGGTGAGTGTCCTGGGGGGGGGGGGGGGGGCAGGCACGGTCAGAGTTTCGAACCGGAACTGAACCAAACCGAAATCGGCACCGCCATCTTGGTACTGAACCGGAACTGAACCAGAAAAAAATTAACGATAACTGGTTTAAAACGGTTCACTGTATTTTTTTAAAATTACAAAATTAATTTTTGAGAAATAAAAATTGGCAGCTGTATCTAGTGATCAAATTGTCATATATCGAATTGCAATTTGTGAGAAATTGTAGTTTTTCGTGGCACTTCTGTATTGGCACTATGATTAATCTTCTCTCACATGCTCACGTGACGTCGTGGTATCAAGACATGCTGTCAAGGAGTGTCGTGCCACGTGGCCCCGTGATGTAGTCGCACAACGCACTGCATCAAGTCGACTTAATTGAGAATGTTACTAGATTTTTTAGCCTTGACAACATGAAGTCATATGGCATCACGAGTTCTCATTGCGAGTCACGTGACACTGTGACATACTCGATTGTCATGATCCCGAGTCCAGCGCTCGGGCTCATGACAATCGGCATTTCCAAGCATTCGGGTAGTGGCTCATGCTCAAATAAAGATGAGAATAGCTGAACTCTAACAATGTCTAAAGCTCAACCCATGCTTTATTCTTTGCCACCCCCAGTGCATGACTGTGATGAACACTAACGGTATACTATAATTAGCGTCAGATCACGTGGCCGCTTTTTCTAATAGCGAGTTTAGAAGGGATAGCTGTTTCGTTCCTTTATTTTTCCGGCGTCCGCCATTGAGCGGAGGGGAAAACTAATGGGCGTTTTTGCAAGTTATCAACGTCGGGGATTGGCTCTTATGGATATTTACTGAAAATAAACAAATTGTTGCACAACCCATTTTACATGTACACATCATTGAGCACCCAAACATGTTTTCGTTGTTGCTGAATTGTCTCAAAAAGTTATTCCCAAGAATAAAAGCATTGAAAGGACTAAATGTGACTTATTAATCCGACGATAAATAGAACTTAGAGTTACAAGTGTGTACGGGAGGCATACCTGAAAAGAAGAATCCTAGTGGCCTCAGAGGGATAGCCGAACGTTTGCAGCCGCTCTAAGTCTCGCAGGAGTTCTCAATTTTCCCCCAAGCTTTGACCACCTCCATATTTTGTGTAAACTTCACAGATTTTGGGCGCAAAATAAACGAAATGGAGGATTACTGTTAACAAATGACACAAATATAATTGTCAAAGTAACAACCCCATATGGAGGTGGGAGTCCCTCGGTAATAAAAAAGCATTATCTGGAGGAGCATCGAAAAAAGAAAAGAGAAGGGGGGGTAAAAACACTGTGTTGTAAAGGTAAATCTTCGGCACAGACCAGAAAGCGTGATTGAGGAAACTACTTTGTTTACAAAAACACTCCTGCCAGAAAGTGCGTTTTCATAGTGTCATATGCGCGCGCCGTTCCTAACAGTGCACCAAGCAAGAATAATTTACGTCTCTCAAATACATGACTTGCAGTGAGCACAAACCTTCTGCAGCACGCATTTTGCACCACCGGATTTGATTTTATCAGCAAGAACAAATGCAATGACCGCCAGCATATAGTGCGAGGATGTCACGTGCAAACCATGTTAAGCAGATCAGTTTTCTGGTGCAATGTGATGTTCTCAATGCTAACAAAAAGGAATGTCTAAATTTTAAAGTTGTGCTGTATATATAATAGTCTTGCGATGATATGCTGCAGCCTAATAAAATGTTCGAGAGCGCATGACTGATGAAGCACAGAGTTGTAAAGTGAGGGCCGAAAACAAATGCACGTAAAGCCGAGTATAACATTAGCCTCCTGAGACGGTACTTTTTCGAAGTTTCAAAATCGTGCAAGCTGATGTCTAGATGTGATTTATATTAGAAATATATTGTCTGTTCTTTGCGCTATTTATGCGTAATTAGGAATATCGTTGCCTGAATCTCATGTATCTCTTTTTGCAGTAAGGCATTGTGTATGAGATTATTTAGAAGAATACCATTTATTATCTCTCTTTCTGAAGGTTTTGTGTATTTGCCTTCAGATCCATTATGTGAGCGCACAGTCCTTCTTAGCATACCTTGCAATCCGGTGTTTCGCACTGCCAAACAGTGAACAAAAAAGCAAGTTTCTGCAGACTCAGCAGCTGGCGTATGTTCGAGTATCGTCCTCCTGTGTCGGTCTCTAGCAGTTATGTGAACTTCATACCGTCAAATTTATTGATGGTAATAGAAATATATTTAATTACTGCCTGAAGATTTGACAACATGAATAAGGGGCTGATCATCTTAAAGATTTGCATCTAAAGTAAATACACCCACATATTAGCTGAAATATGCTCTGCAGATCTTTTCTGGTGTTTTTATCCTCGATATAAACGCCGAAAAGTGACCACCGTTTTTATAAGTGATTTGGGAGAGCCTTGAACAATTTTTTTCGTTGAAGCTGATTTAAATAACTCTGCGTTCCTTACACATATTTACCTTCTGCAATTTATAGAAGTCTGTTATTGCCTCTTTTATGTGATGAACAACAATTTTATGTGTCTGGGCTGGACAAAAACAAAGTACACGGAAACGCGTGGCGAACTATGTAAATAGCGCACGCAGACTGTCAGAAAGTGACCAGTTAAGTAGCTGCAATGTCGAGTAGAGTACGAAATACTGCTTTGTTTTCTTTAACAAAAAAAATCGCCCATTAGCAAGGTTGACGCTAAATTGAATTCACCGGTATCTTGTCAAGGTAAACCTCAAATGCCTAACTATGCCAAAAATGTTCGCTTGGGTATGCTCTATTTTAGGCCAGATTTTATTATAGAATGAAGGTGCGTATAGATTAGAGTGTACAATTTTGATCACACTTTTCTGCATGATCATTCGCCTGTATCATAGTGCTGAGTGTAACCAATGCTGGCCAGAAAAACAAGCCTTGTGATTGCCGCTCAGAGTTCCTATTCGCTCTTTCTCGCGTGAGTTGAAACGTGGCGGCGCCAGTGTGCAAATAGCCCCCAGCCACTTCAGGTTCTGAGCTAGACGGCGGGTTTCGCAGTATTTGCGAAATCAGGTATACACGCTATCTTCTGGAAATGGCCATTTATAGCACTTTAAGACTTAATTCACTCTTACGATGAAAGAATGATGAGAAGAAACTTTGGAAATATGCGTGAACCGGAAGTGTGCCAGTGCTAGCCAAAAGATGGCGCCACTGAGTTTGTTGCCAAGCAAAAAAGGGCGAATAAAAGGTAGAAAGGGCCTGTCCTCAAACTTTTTTGACATTTTTGCAAATAATAGTTCTTTTAGCTCAGTTGCGTCCTCATCACATATATCATGAAATTTATTTCATAAACAAGATTTCACGATATATTCGCCGAGGATGTGCCCATTCTATGATTTTATGCACTGTAATTAATTACTAAGTTCAAGAGCGCAACTAGGATTCAACTTCTAATACTGTGACCCAAAGTTATACCAATCACGGCTCTTTTAGGCGACTTACCAGACGGATAAGTTTTCGATTCAGGTAAAATATATGCCACTGAGGTAAACAAATAGATGTTGATTCATACAAACATTTTGTACGTTAATCTAGCTTTTCTGTGACTGTTTCATTGAAATTAAATACCGCAATCTCCTTTTTTGGTGCTTGAAAATAAAAGGATTGTATGAATTATAAAAAGCTATAAAGTTTCTTGTTTCACGGTTGAAATAGTGCCTATTGCCAAAACAGTGTGGAAAATATATTCTCAATGTAGTGGTTCGTACCATTATTTTTCCCCGCTGGAACTAAGCCGGAACTGAACCAAAAGCTGTGAACCCGAACCGAACCAATAAAAATTTCGGTTCGACGCTCTGGCCACGGTACCCTGGCCCAGTGTGCCCAGAGGCGGGCACCCGCACTCTGCTGTGCCAGCAGTCGGATCCGAGCTGCTTCTCTTTGGGTAGAATTGTTGGCTGGCATTGTTGATGCATTTATTGTTTAGGCCCGTGCCCTTTCCAGGTGTTATATCGACCTTAGCATCTCATAAGGGCTCTGTTCAGGGTTGCTCAGTCATTGGCGCAGCGTCTGTCTGCTGCATCCAACTGGAAGAGACCACAGCGAGGCCGATGAAAAGGCACTGTGGATGCGGCATGATTTTGCAAAGAAATACTCCAGACGAGACGATCTTCGCAAGAGCAGCACTTTTATGCAGAGTTTCTGGCTTTCAGCGTTTATACCAAATATAAATGCCAGAATCTCTTGTTTATCGTATGTAAATGTATATATGAAGCATTTTCATAAATAAAAGTGCAAACAAGAAACAAGACAGTTATAAACATCTTGTTTCCATCTTGTTTCCTGTGTGCGGAGCACTTGTGCTAGAGACTCGATGAAGTGAGCGGTATTTATAAGTGAATAAATATATAAATAAATTCTAATATGTCTGTGCAGCTATGCTTACTATTGCTCTAAAGGTGCACGAAGAAGGATTGGGTAAATTAATTATTTTTCACCCTTTTTTCCCCTTTTGGAATCTAGACACTGTTCAATTTCTGCTCGTCATGGGCAGTGTGAACATCCTGTTCAGTTTCCTTTTAATACTTTGGTCAGATGGGCACCTAAAATGCTACTTATGCCAGATGACATTCAGTGTAAATGCCATTTTGTCAGTAGTTGCTTCGGTCGCTCCGAGGCGAGAGCGCCGGCCTACGGATCCCCATGTGGCGGGTTCGAATCCCGGCCGAGGTGCCCGCAATCTGACGGAGGCTTATTGCGGAGAAGGCGCCGTGTAACTGAGCTTTCGGTTGCACGTCAAAAGATCCCCAGGTGGCCCAAATTAATCCCCAGTCCTGCGCTGGGGCGTGCCAGATGTCAGTCGTTGGTTTGGCACGTAAAACCCCCAAATTTGACTTTGGCCATTTTGTCAGTGCCATACAGCAACCCAAATGACATTTGGGCTAAATAAATGCCACTTAGCCCAAATACCATTTGAGTTGCCGTGTGGCACTAACTAAATGGCATTTATACTGAATGTCATTTGGCAAATATGGCATTTGAGGTGCCCGTTCAAAAGTGGTATTAGGCTGTCTGTGTCCAGGGCCTTTAATTTTGTTGTCTCCATTATGTGTACAGTTAAAACATTCCCAGTGCGCCAATAAAGTCGCCTTGTTGGGGACAAGGAGAACATGATGGTTAATCATTTTAGCTTTTGATGGCACGGTAGAAACCTGGATTCACATTGATCAATTCACGTTGACCTTGCTGTGAATGTTCGAAAGAATTGTGTCGTTTTGTGGCACTTGGGCGCAGAAGGCACTGCGATAGCTGCCTAGTGCATCACTCGATGCAGTCTTTTTGGTAGTGGCGACTACTCTAGTCTCCGGCACCCTTCTTCCTTATCCTGAGACTTTCGGGGCCGTGAGTCCAGTCTTTATGGTCCTGAAAGACTTCGACGAGGTGACAACGACTTGGGTGTTGCTACGATTTACCGATGCTTAATATTTTTCCAGCTACGCATCACTCTGGAAAGGATGCCTCACCCTCTACACGGGGAAAGGGGGTGAGATTCAGAAGATTGGAGAGTGAGTATGAGTTTCGGTGAGCGTGCCCCACTGGCAGCCCATAAATGTCTCTCCCTCAGGTTCTGCCTGCCCTTCAGCGAAACACCGTTCATGAGTGAGCCCAATCCCGAATTCCAGCTGCAGCTGCAGGCCAAGCTGGTGAGTGCCTTCTCTGAGGCAACACTTCAAAATGGGTTGTGACGCTGGCGCTGGAGTGGCCAGATCATCTTGCCCAGACGGAAGTGGATTACACGGAACTGGCCTATTTCTATTGTCCTCGTAAGATTGAGCCATTGTGATGTAATTGTGACATTCGTGCAAAGCACCCAGTGCGCTACACGTAGGTATTGTCTAGGCTTTGCCTTTTTCTTATATCGCTACTTGTGGGCTCCTGCGGTTCCATTGCGCCGCGTCTTCTTCTGGGAGCTCAACTGGACAAACTCGTCAGGAGATGATCTCGCCTTTTTTGCTTTCAGGGAGGGGCGGTTTTATCTCCTATGAGGTTGGGTGTGTTGCACACGCAATAAACCCTACTAGAAAAGGAAAGAGAATTGGCCCCCCCCCCCCCCCCCCCCTTTGACACTTTCTAGCCAGTGTAATGTGAAACTGCTAGCAGTTCTCTGGTTTATTAGCATGGGAAAATCATTTTGTGGTCCCTTTGATCTCGGCTCTGGCCAGTCGAGGTGATCTGAAAGGGACACTGACACACCCCAAAAATTAATTTTTTTATTTTTTGCCAGGCATTTTATTATGGTGTCAGAAGACTACCCAATCAATATTTTGCTACAGTGTCACATATATTTTTATTAAAGTAAAAAAAAATGCAACTGCTTGAAACCGAAACCGAAATTGGACGGAGGAGGAAGAAGAAATATAGAGGAGGAGAAAGTTACCGAAAGTCACTTGGCTGGGCAGCTTTTTTTTCTTCGATCAATGTATGCAACTTTTTAGAAGCCACAAAAATGGGTGTGTTAAATTCAGTCCATTTTTAGTATTGAGTGTGTGCCTTCGATGACCCACAACTGTGATAATCTTTGGTGGTTGTGTCTCAACACAGAAAACGGCTCGTGACCACAAAGAAGAGAATGAGCGCGACTCAAAACGGCCAGTTCTCGATCAATGATTTTCGGGCGGAAAGAAAACAAATTTCAAGCCACTAATTGTGTTCTGGGTAGTTTGGCTCTCATATGTCTCGCACAGATAAAAACCTTGGAAAGCATAAATGCCCTATCAGTGTCCCTTGAAACAATGCCTCTGCTCGCCCCGATTTCAGAGTGCCAATATGGACCAGAGGCGATCGCCCACCTCACAGGTGGGGGGCGCAGATCCGATGGGCCTCCCAGCGCCATTGCCAGGTGAGTGGCTGTTGGTGCCCGCTCGAGTGCGCCCCAGGGTTGCCGGATATTTGCAGAGTACCGAAACTCGTCAGCTTGTGCCTCGGAACAAGGGACAACCGGGAGCCCGTTGCGCCAGCCATCCTGATGGTGGCACTTCGTGATGGGTTATTTCGGTTTCCAGCATTTTGCATAAACATCCTGTGCGGTAGCCAACCATAGTTTCTAATCAATATCAGCTAACCTGAGCACAGCATTATAAAAAATGTGCCGGGCCACTGTCAACACTAACATTTTTTACACGAGACCTGGACATCGTCCTTATCCGCTGTTAAAAACTGCCGCGATCATGTCAATCCCAGTTTGTCTACTCGATTCTCCAGCGAGCCAAGAGCAATCTGATAGAGCAAAAAATAATTTTCATGTAGATTTTATTCATTACTACAACTGGTGAATGTCGTCTCGTAGGGATTTCTGGATCGAGACACACGATCGCTTTGCAGAAGCATATTCCAGCTCAGATAAATGAAAAACACGGCAGTGTTTTTGCCGTGGTTGTTGCTTACAACTACGGCAGGCACGATTGAACTCGAGTTTTGAGCAACTCCGGCAGGTTGAATGGCATGAGAACACATTCAGAGCAATGCTGGACATACATATGTTTTTGAATGTCAAGGGGCCAGCCACCTTTACTCTGGAGTAAGATTGAGAAACTCAGCTGCAAGAAAGTGCAGACGTGGTTAAGACGCTGCGGGCGCATTAGAAGAGGTCAGAGCGGACAGCGCTTCACTATGCTACATAATGCAGACATTGTAAGTGGTGGTATACTGTCAACCAGCTGCCAAGGCAAAGTGGTGCGTCCCCTTTAGGTGTCGCATGCTCCCAATATCCTGTTTTCACAATTCTAACACACCCTCGATTCTAACATGCGAGTATGCCGTCGACTCTTGTTAATTCGAAGCTTGCGGGGACAGTGAAACATTCCGAATTAAGCGAACTTCAGATTTCAGAAAACATGCTCAAAATGCCTGTTCTTTTTATTCAGTACTTGGGAGAAGTTGTTTCTTTACTTGCCTTTGCTGAGAGAGAGGCACGGCAGTAACTATGCTCTACAAATGGCAAACCTTTCTTAGCTTGTGTCCAGCAATTCCTTTGCCGAAAAATGTGCAAAAAAAATCCTGTGTGGCACCACATGCAGTTTCCGTGTCAACGGCACTCGGCCACTCAGCACAAAAGGTGACATGACCCTTTTCAGACCTAACCACTTGCACAACTTTACTGTCCGAAAACGAATCACAGACCAGGGCATGTTTGTCTACATCAACACATCCGATGGGCGAGACATTTCATGGCTGGGTAATGTCTCAACCCAAGATTTGTTGGCTGTCACATGGTGCGGCCACGCTCGCTTCCATAACTCCTGTGAGGATGGTGCCATGATGTGCTTCCCTGCAGTCATGCTTGGCTTGGCTTAACCGTGCAGATGGCTTGGCTGCCCGGTGGCTTGGCTGCCCGGTGGCTTGCCTGCCCGGTGGCTTGGCTGCCCGGTGGCTTGGCTGCCCGGTGGCTTGGCTGCCCGGTGGCTTGGCTGCCCGGTGGCTTGGCTGCTTGGTGGCTGGGCTGCCCAGGGGTACAGTGAACTAGAGGAGGAGTAGTGAGATGAGGCACTGTCGCAGCGAACCTGGAAAGGTCCCGTATGTACGCGGCAGTGCTGCGGTAGCATGGGCTGGAGAATCCAAGCGTTCTAAGGGCCTTCGGCGAGCAGGTTTAGCTTGGCGGTTTGGCAGTGCGAACTGGTTCCCATTCAGATCTTTCCTCCGTGTTTTCTCTCACTTATGTCGAATGAAATGCAATGCCGAATCAACTATGACGACAGTGACGAGGACAACGGCAGTAGTGCAGCAAAGGCAATGCGAAGCATGCGCTACTACAGCCCACGCTTTAGTGGCACCCTCTTGTGCCGTTGACAGGATGTGTTGCAGCCGTGAGTGCTCGTTGAGCTCACTAGCCCTCTAGTTCACTTTATCGGTGGCTTGGCCGTGTGCCGCTCTCATTCTTTTTCCGATCGTGCAAACAGATACAAGTGATAAAGTGTGCACGGCTGCGATTTAAGCTTGGTCAGCATAATTGCGAGACTTTTTCATTCTCCCGAAAATAGCAAAATTCTCAAACATACTCAAAAAAATTATTCTTTTTTATTCAAATTTTTATTCAAATCAACCAGTTTTAAAGGTTAAACTTCAAATTACCACACATTTTTTTCATAGATTCATATATATGGTTGTTAGGACCACATCCCTCCTTTGAACTAACCGAAAATTAGAATAAAGCAACCTTAAATTACCGAGAGTCAATTGTATTTAACTCGTGCATATGAACCGTGCAGATAAATAATGGTCACCGACTACCACATACTTTGTACAACTTAGCTCACTGAATGTGCACATGTACAAACATCGAAGTTTGATGAGTTTCTTATTGTCCATAGCCCCCATTTTCTGAAGCATGCAACTTTGCTCAATTTACCTCTTTTCCTGCCAGAACAGTTACTTCCTAATTAAATAACTGTTTTTCAACTCACAAACAAAAAATGGCAGAGATGTCTTCCAGTTCGTTGTCCTACCTCCAGCGTGACTGTCCTACCTTCGATAACACATAGGCGTATCAAGAGCTTCGAGTGTGCTCATGCAAATAAGGCATGACGGAAGGCAAGGGGCACGTGCTGAAAATTGGCTCTCCAAAAGAGAACCACGAGTTCCCAAAACCAAAACAAACAACATGCTGAGCATGGAGCCAAGGGTGGCAGTGGACGAGAAATTAGAAAATGGCGATGCAAAAACGTGATGGATGGATTGTAGCAGCTACTGTGTCGAGCGGTAGCATGCACCATATTCGCGACTCCAACTAACTATAGGTGGCGCCACTCATTTTCCAAGATGGCGGGTTTAGTGAGGGTCAGAGATGCGTGCCGCTGTTGAGCCTGTCTAGTCTGCTGGCTTCACTGAGCAACATAAATTATTTCTAGTAATACAAAGAAGCTAATGTTTTATGAGCGCAGGTCACCTCTTTAACCTGAAAACAAGAACGGTGTTTGGCGTAATATTTACGGAAGGATGCGCATTTTAATTCTGGAGCGAAACCGAAACTTAAATTTATTTTGGGTTTAATTTCTCGATATAGGTCATCATTTCGGATTCTTTCATGACTCAAGATGTGTCTCACATCGTAATTATTTACTTAGAAAAGTTGTTCGCGGAAACATTATTTTGTGACATACTGTTCGATTCAGGCTGATATTTGTAGTTGAAAAAATCAGTGCTGATACCTGTGCGTTCTCGCTGCCTTTTTCTTGCTCAGATAATTGTCATGGGAAATAATGACAATTATCCCAGCACACGAATAAGAGAATAATTCCAATTTTTACAATATGTCCACCAAACGCATAAACTAATAAACGCTGCTCTCACTGCAACAACCCAAAGACGGAATCCGAGTCAGACAGCTGAAGTGTGTATGTGTGTGTTTTTATAGCACCGGCGTGACGCGTAGGACTTCATATTACATCCAGTGTTTGACTCTTTGTCTATCTTGATAACTATGTCAGAGTTTTTCATATGCTAAAAAGAAAACAGAATTATACCTTTCTAGAAAGACTATTATGGTTAAATAGCGTATTCTCATGATCTTGGCGTTAATGGACTTCTTCCAAAACCGACGCGCCCCATCGCGGCGAAATTCCACGCAGTGCGCTCTGGGAACTAGTTGGCCATTCAGTTTCGGTTTTGACCGAGCAGCTCCATCTCATGCTATCGCGTTGCGACTGAACGCGCTGCTTGCGTTTTCGATTATCTGACTTTTCACAAACGTACAATACACTCATTCTTGAGCGATACAAAACGAGGACCGGGACACTTTCCTTGGTTCCCGAAACACCGGATATTATGAGTGCGTATGCAAACGTAGTAATTAAGACGTGGCTTAGTCACCTCACCTTTGAGTTCAGTTTCAATAATCCCGTCTGGTACCAGTGAACTGCAACTGAAATTTGGTCTCCTGGAGCCTTACACGTATTTTGTTTGCCAAACGTCCACTTGTTACTTCATTGGGCGAAAAGCAAGCCGCATCCTCACAGGAGTATCAAATTTGAGCCCAGCGTTGACGCATGAACTTTTAAGGAAACGCAATAAATTCGACCTCACTACCGCACCTAAGTTACTATGATGTCTTCCTCGTGTCATCACATATCTCCCACTCAAATTTTATGCTGATAGAAGATTAAGTTTTCGCAAACGCTAAGATCGGCTAGCTGCGACGGAGGCCCTAACAAGCGTCCCCTATTCCTCGCTAAGCCTTTTTGGATGAGCTTTTACTGACGCCCAAGATCTGTGCCTGAACGGTGTGTCTGAAATTATTTCGGCATACTCAGGGCAGGAAGAAAGCAAACACATAACAAATATTATGGTCACTAGCAACCGCCAAATGCACTTTGAATAATTTCGTTCGTTTGGTGCACCGCATGCCCGTCCGGCGTACTTCTGGCGAACGGTGCGACATTTTTCACACAAGTACTCGACTTTTGCTTTCTTAAAACGGTTTGTATGTACGAATGTGTTTATATGACTGCAGGATAACTTTATGCGCATACGCGATGTTGAATATTAGCAAAATGCAAGCGGGTGGGGACTTCGCTTCGTGCAGTGCTGCGGGTCAGTACAGATAAGAGATAAGAAGTGTTATAATTGAACTTTTCAATGGCGCCTCCGAGTTTTACCTCGCGTACTCAGGCGTATTAAGAAAACAGTAATTGCAAAAAGTAATATTTCGTCTATGGACGCACGAAACAAACAAACTTCCTGATCAACAACACTAATGTAAAGGCGCCAGCTCGATGTATGCATATTTATTGGTTGCTACAGCTTGTTGATTCGTACATAAGCAAGATCCCCGAGCTTCGCAGCGTCGACATTCCCAGCACTGGCTCATCCACATTCCTCGAAACGCTAACAGAAAAGCTCAAGTAC